AAACCGTGCCAGACCTGTGAGTGGTTACCTTAACATTTAAAAAAAAAAAAAAAAATTTCACAACTTCATTATTATAAACAAATTAGTTTAAACTATATATTATAAAATTTGATAAAAATTAACTGAGCTGTTAAAAAGTTTAATCAAAAGCATTTTTTATTTACTATATGTTCTCAAAAAAGTTATATAACAATCTACACAGATTCACAATCTTTAATAATCAAGTTTAACAAATTAATATAATTACTATTTATATCTAACAAATAATATTTTTATAAAGCCAATTTGATATATTCTACTAAATATAAATATAGTATACAAACTCACATTAACTTTCAAAAAGTTATAGCTTATAATAATAATATTTTTAATAATATAGTTGATAATTTAGCAAGAAATACAAATGATCTCACAATACTCCAATTCTTATACAACAATATCTACAATCTATTATACTATATTCAATATAAAAAGTATACATTTGAACAACCAACTTGTAAATCTATTAAAAATATATATAATGCCTATATAATAGCTATATAGGTATTATAATACTGAATAGACAATATTATAGCTATATTATCGCAAATTAACTAGAATACAACCTGGCTTTATCTTAATAACAACTTCAAAAAATTATCTAAATATACTAATTTTAAACTTTGTTAAGAGAAAACCTTTAGAATTAAGAGTAGAGTATATATAGATTATTTTTATATGATCTGTATAATACATTGAATTTTTATATACTGATTGCAAAAAGGATTGCTATAAGTTTAGCTTTATATAATAATAGCCACAAGTTAATCTTTATTAAATAGATGTATAGTATAGTATTATTATAAACTTAGACCTATCTAATTCCCATAGTGCATTGTTCTGTAGATATGTTTTTAATTAAATCATCTGTATAGAATGTTAGCTCTGTATATTAACTATTATTAGTTGTGATTTGTTAGAGTTTTAGATAATTGATTGTTTTTAAAAATTTCAAGTATTATATTATTATGAATAGTAAATATAGATAGTGTAGATATTAACAGGCATACGATTTATCACATCAAAATTTTTATTATATGATTTTCAAAAATTACACAAATCAACGAATTTACACTTTTGAGTTTGTCACTTAAAACCTTAGTCAAAATATATAATCTTTCTTAAAACAAAATTATTGTTTGAATTTTTATGAACCTAACAGTATAAAAATATAATACACAGATCTCTTTTAATTAAGTATTATACTTTTAAAAATAGACAATTATTTTTTCTACTTCTTCAAGATTTTTCTCAAGTTCACAGATTCTCAGCATAAAAAGTAGTTGTTTAGATATATCAAACCAAGAACTTTTGCCAAAATGTATGTGTGAAAGGTGGTTGCATTATAACCATAATGGAAAAAATCAAGAAAAATTATTTTATAGTAAGTAAATTATGCATTAATTTAGTTTTTTTACTTTAAAATTTTTTTTTAAAACAGTTTTAGTACTCTATTATACGTATTTGCTTACTAAGTTTGAATTATTTATTTAAATTAAAATAAAATTCTTGGTGCTTGATAATTCAGCTTAAGATAAGTAATTTAATTATTGAATATATAGTTGTTTATTGAACTATTCAAGTTTCAAATTTATAAATAGTTGCTAAAATGAACCTTTTTATTTAGGACATTCCCAAGCAATATAACTTGTTAGTAATCAGAATTGTTATGATTAATTGAAGTAATCTTCATAAGAATCAACCAGGGTGACTATTAAAAATACAGGTTATGTGAATAGCATACCAAGGTTCAATATATACAATGCAGGGTTAAAAGTTTCATAGCAATAGCAGTAAATATCTAGTACTGATTCATCTGCTATAATTGCTGCAGGTGGTGCTACCACATAACCATATTTTTGATGGCCACCCAGGTCGATTCTCTTTGTAAAGAATTTAGTTTTTATTATTTATTTTAGTTGATCGAAAAGAGAGATGGTTTACACTTTGATACTTGTTTGAGTAAGATATTTAAAAACACCTTTATAGTTAGATGATTTGTCATATTGGTTAATTTTATATATTATATATATACTGTATAATTATAATTTAAATTTTAATAAAAAAAATTAATTCATTAAAAAGTATAATTTGTTATTAATAATATTTGGCAATAATATATAATTAATATTTTAAAATAAACTTCTTTCATTACAGAAAAAATGAGAAATTAAAATGGGTAGATATTTAGGTTAAGTAATTATTTACTCATATGTTTATCTTCAGATTGATTATTTTTTCATTTTTTTCTTTTTTCATTGTTTAAAAGCTGTTACTGTATCTTTATCTAAGTTTTTAACTGCTCTTCCTTTTGAACTCATTTTTTTAGTTAAATAAACTTCTTGCACAAGTAGATCTTCTATACGCTCTATTCCACATTGATAACAAGTTTCTATATTAGTATATCCTTTTGAAATATTTTGCATTATGTATTCAAAAAGAGGATAACTATTTGGATTTGGATTTTGAAATGCACTATATATTTGATCACTTAAAATTCATAATTGCTCACATCGATCTGGTGCAACATAGTCATCAATATTAATATCTATTATATTACTAATAAATTCATTAAGAACAGATAATCGCTTAATCTCATCCTGACTTCCTTTTATTTGTCAATATAAGTTTTTTTCATCTTCAGATTTTCGCATTATTACTTGTTTAACAGACTTAACACCGTATATTTCTTATGCTTCATCATATACTAGATAATGTTCTTCACGTATAATATTGACAGATGGCACTCAAATTAGTCTTTCTTGAAGCTGGGTATTTTTATGCAATCTTCCTAAAAAAATAGCAACTGACTCTGCATATCTAAACTTGCCAGTAACTGAAAAAAGTGGTGCAAATGCGGCAATACATGCAATTTGCAAATCAAAATCTCCTCTTTGAATACCAATTTTATGGGCTTTCCAATAACCAGCCTATTAATAAAAATTTAACCAAACTTTTAGAATATTATTAAAACCGTTTTTAATATAATTAATAGTTTTTTTTGTATTTTGTAGATAACGGTGAATTGCAATTCTGACTGCTGCCCAGATTAATTCAAGAACTATACAAGTTGCATGATAATTTAAACCTTTTTCTAAATTTTTCAAATATCAGACACCAAGTAATGTCGTCATGTTGAAAATTCCATATCCAGAAAAAGCTATAATTAAAGCTTGGCATATATCTTTTGAAGTATGCCACTGTCCAAGAATAATATTAACATTAAGATTTTTATTTTCATAGTTTTTAAGTCTTCGAAAAATAGCTTCATCACATACAATATCTATTGCAGTAGTTTCTGTATTTGCTACATTATTCAAAAACATATCGCATGCCTTATATATGTTCTTATTAGAATTTGGCGCTGATCTAGGATTTAGAATTACTATCTCCAGTTTATCAAATTTGCATCCAATTTGAATATTTTTGATAACTTTCAGGCGAATATTATTAATGCCAAAATTATTTATTTTTTCTAAAAGTAACTTGTCAAAAATTCTATCATAATTTTTGTTTAGATTTTCTATAATTGTCAATGATCTAATCGTAACTTGATCAGATCGTTCAGAAAAAAAGATTGAAGTAGCTTGCAAATTTGAAGGAAGCCTAAATTGAAATGTAACCCGCAAAGTGGCATATGCAGTTTTTCGTACAGTTCATAAATATTTCTATGCGTGAATATTTTTTCTTTTATATCATATTATTAATAACTGACAAATTGTAGATATTATTTTCAGCTTCAAGTTGGCTTGCAGAATTAGAATATTCCATACGCTATCTTTCTATACGAACTTTGTGATCCCAACTATATAAAATTATATATGCAGAATGAAGAATTTTATAAAGTTTTGAGATCATGTGTGGACATCTACAAAGTGAGCCCAAAATGTGAGGTAACCAAATTTTCCATCTGCAAAAGGCAATTCCTACTATAATTGATACTAAAAAAATTGTAATTTTGTTAACTAATGCTAAGTTTAGTGGAATTAATAGTGATCTGTGTAATTTTCTTTGCTGTTCTGCAACTTCATGTTTTTTTTTTAATAAAAAGTAATAAGATTACTAAAAAAAGACCACAGAGTTTGGGAAAATGCTAAAGCATATTGTTCAAGCGATTGTAGATTTTCTAAGATCGGTAAATTGTCTTTAAACAAGAGGCAAGATTGCTATAAAGATCTCTAAGAAGATTTCCAAAGTATGCGCATTCTTTTTCTTTTAAAATCGGTGCTTTTGCTTTAATACTTAAATCTATTTTTGCTAATTTAAATACTATCTGAATTATTAATAAAGTTGGTAAAATTGGTTGATTAAATGAATCTATTCGACTATGAATCAAATCCCATGGCAAATGTAGTTTTATTAACTTAATTGCTGGCAATAATGACCAGATAAGTTGCTGTTTTTGTAATTCATTACTTGACTTTGCTACTAACTGAATCCAATTTCTAAAATTTTTTAGAATTGTAGTTAAATTATCATGTTTACTATTACAACTAAACTCTTTAATCCTTTTCCTAATCCTTTATATAAATGGCCACCGTTGTCTTCAAAATACTCTAAACAAATGTATAAGGATCACATGTTATTTGTTAATAAGATAGAAATTAAGAAACATTTATGTAATGCATCACACATTCGTAATTCTAAACATGCAACTCTAATATTGCATCCACATACTATCCACAAATGCTAGGAACATCTCTGACCACATGTAAAAAAGCTTTTATATTTATTACAAAACATGCATTGTATATGGTGAAGATTACTTTGATCCATTTCTAGTATTTGAATATTTTTATAATGCAGCTGATTTTGATCAAAGAGAAAATGTTGATAACAGATACCAAGCTCATTTAACTTTCTATTCCATTGTTTAATAGCTTCATAATCAATTTTTCAGATGTCTTTGAGCTGAGCAAGAGGATGATTATAGCCTCCAACATTAATTTTGTTACATCATTTTATTTTTTTTCATCATTGTCATTATCAACAATAATATATAGTATATATTTATCATCTTCTGTAGGTTGATCTGATAGAATTTCGTCAACCCCTTCATCAAACTTAGACAATATATTTTCTTCTAATTCATTATTAAGATTATAATCTTTATTTTCATTACAACTATTTTGCTGCAAAATTTTGCTTTTAACATCTTGATATGTATCATTATCGAAATTAAGAATAGAAAAGTTTTCTGTTTCATCTGCAGATTTACTATCAGAATTGCTAGAATACAGATCAAAGTAGCTATTACTATAATCAATGTTTTTCATAATTGTATATTTGATTATAGCATAAATATTTAACGATATGAAGGTTTTTATTAGGATTTGTAATAATGGTTTAAGACTTTTGTAAGTGAGTATATTGATAAATTTATTAAATTATTAAATTTAATATTTATTAACAGTTAATAAAATACAGCAAAAAAATTTTTTTGAAAAAAACTTCTATATATATATATTTTTTGTTTTAATTATTACATTCATATTTATTTATTTATGAAAGACATTTTTACATCATTTGTATATATTATGTTACATGATATTTTTAATCGCTCAATTATCAATTATCCAATTGCTCAATTACCCAATCGCCCAATTACTCAATCACTCAATTGTTTAATAGCTCAACTATCTAATTGGTCAAGCATTTATTACCCAATCATTCAATCACCCAATTGTTTAGTTACCCAATTGTTAATAATATTGCACATTATTAATCAACAATCTCAATTAATACAACACAATTTGGTCTACCAAATTATTCAATCATCCAATTTCTCAATTACCCAATTGCTTAATCATTCAATTATCAATCACTTTATTATTCAATAATTTAAGTGCACTTATTAAATAATAAAAAAATTAATAAAATAAATTTATTATTATAAATTTATATAATACACCAATCAACAAAATACAAAACAAAAAAATAAAAAAAGCTAATAATTGCATATAAATAAATTTGACTATAGCGTTGAGTCATAGAATTCTATTACAGTATATTATGGCATAGTGTTAATACTGAAAGTAAAATTAATAATTTCACTGGAAACTTTACTATTACAGAATCCTGCTGGAAAACTAGAGATTCTCATGAAAGCTAAAATCGCCAATACTGATATTAAGAGTAAGTGACAAGGTTTAGGTATAAGAAGAATTGTGATGAAAATTTGGTAGTGATTAGAAAATTCAACCTGACTAATCTGAAAAAAGAATAAGTATTAGTAAAAATAAAAAGATAATGATAAATAAAATTATTTTTAAAATTCTTAAGTTTGCAATCAGATAATCAAGTCAGATCTATTAGTTTCAGCTGAAAGTGAAACTTCAATTTGTTGAAAGCATTATACGATCTGAATTCCACTTATAAAATTACCACTTGGTTATGATTCTAACTTTGATTCATTTATGTTTACAGTTTTTAAATTTGTGTCTAGTAATATTTTTGTTTTAGCAAAGTCAAATTAGTTCTGGTTAGCAACATTGGTCAAATTAAAGCTTAAATTATATTGGATCACAAAGCAAATTTATACCTAACTTTACAAGCGAGATTCTTTATTTTCGGTACTATAAACGGTATTCAAAAACATTTATTAGATAGTTTTTATATGTCTATGTACGATGTTAGTTTGTTCTTTGCTTGGAAGTATCTTTATGCGCATAAAAGACAACTACAAAGTAAGTAATTTCATTAATTTTATATAAAAATAGAATTTTATCATATGATGTAGTTCATTTTAAATTCTATATTGAAATCACCTCTGCTGCTAATCATATGACAAATCATGTATCTGTTAAGATAAAATTACATAGTGTGATAGAGTATAGTAGATATAATACATTAATATAAAGATTAAGTTTGTATATATTTTTTTTTCTAGAAATTCAGTAGCTGAGTTGCTGCAATGCTGAATATATATTTGTTTTTAATATAATTTAAGTTTAGAATATATTCTACATATGATGTACAATAAAAAAACTCCAATTTTAATAGAAAATAAAATCAATACAACAAAAAATTTCAAAAAGCAAGTAAATAAATAACTAAATACATAGCCAAGAAGACAAAACAACATCTATATACCACTAGTTTATACTTTTAAATAATTAAAATTAAGAGAAAACAAAGCAGCAAAAACCATTTAACTAACAACAAAGAAAACACCAAGTACATAGGCTATTTTGTACCATTTACTCTTACTATTTAAGCTCAACTCTAAATAAGCAAACACAACATTAGTAACTAAAACAACAAGGGCAAAAAACTGCTGCAGCCAAACTAGACTCTTTATACTGATACAAGTGCAAAAAGAAGACACACTCTTCTTCCAAGACCATACTTAAACACCAAAAGTAGACTATCCAACTTACTCCTCCAAAAAATACTATGACATTATTACACTACAACAACAACAACAACAACAACAACCAACTCATTTAAACAGATTTTAACAATATCCAAATAGTGTTTTCAGAAAAAACAACAATACAATAATTATTTTCTACAACTCCAATATTACTATATTAGGAGGTTGTCTAAAGTAGAGGCACATTATGTGATCAACAGCCAATAAAATTACAGAATTTTAATAATTGCTAGCAAAGCAAAAAAACAAAAAATCTTGAAAAATACAAAAAATGACAGTCTAAACCTACCTCAGATAAGTTAATTAAAAATGTCAGGAAGGTAATTTTGCTTATATTTATTTATTAAAACCTAGCCTAACCCCAATATAGAAGACTTAAACCCTAAAGTTGATTAAAAAAATTATTAAATATGAGTTGCCTCCACTTTAGATGTCCCCTATATTAGGTAATACACTTCATTTTGACAATAATATTACTCCCAGACCTTAATTAATAACAACAATATAGCAACATTAATACATAATACAGGACCTGCAGCAGGCCTGATCTGAATACTATCTAACATAAAAATCTTGTAGATATCGAAATTACCACTCCTATTACTGAATTAGAAATATACTAACTGACAACAAAATAGAAACCAACACAACCTCAACTATATCTCACACCAAGAAAGTTCTAATATACTTACATATAGCCAAATAACTAAACAAAACCTAATTAACAACATAATGCAAATAGAGAGAACCCAACCCAAAAATAGCTAGAACACATATACAAAGAATTAACAAAAAAAATTATACAGTTTTTTAATAATAATATATGGTATTATAATAAATTAATTACTAGTTTTCAATCTAGCGATAGCCTACAGAAATTTATAAAATACAAAACAGCAACCAAGCTTATCCAAAAACAAATTTCCTTGGGTATTCTTGTCAAATTCAAACACCTTGACAGAACATTCTTTCTAACCTTTACTAGAGCCAAATACAATATCAAACTGAATATAAAAAGATGTTCTATAATGATTTATAAAATTATAAAAAAGCTAACCAGATCACAATAACTAACAAAGAGACAAGAAATAATATTCATCAGAAATTGTGCCAAAAATTATTTTTTGACCATATAACAAATACAGACTTCAATACTTGCTCTTCTAAATATATTACACAACTTATTATTTACTACAAAGGATTTATTTTTTATTTTTTATTTTTTTTTAACTAGCCTCTTTGGCATAAGAGTTTTTATTCAAGTATAACAGATCAGGAGGCTCACAATGGAACTTCATTTACATTAGAGAATACAAGTAGCCATACATGCAACTTTTATTGCCTATTTAAGTAGTCTGTGACAATATACTATAAGGACTACACTATTTGCTATACCTATAATCCAACTAGGTGATTACCTATATAAACACTCTGAAATATATACAATCTATTTGTATTCACTGGAACATCTCCACTACATTTGTCGGTCGAGAAGTACCAGATGCTTGCCATAGCTTTAGGACTAATTTATTCTCAAGGCATCGTTGCTAGAGCTTTCTATACCTACAATCCGGCTAATCTAGACTTTAGTAACTTACACCGAATCCAAGTACAAATACTTGCGAGCCGAGGCCACTACTGTTATCTACTTCTGACCTTGTAGAGTTTATCCAAACCCCAGTACCTACTTTTACAGACTATAATCAATACCTTCAACATTCCTAAACTACCAATCCAAATGGCCCAGAGAGGACTTTTGGCCGCAGGTTTATCAGTCCTCTGATATTCTGCAGTCAAGCAGATCCTTTTCCTCCGGTTCTATCAGCCAGCTTGGTAGGTTGCCTCCCCAAACATCTGTCATTCAGCATCCCAAACTCTCAATTCAGTTGGCCCAGAGAGGACTTTTGTCTGCAGGTTTACTGGTCTCTTGTTATTCTGCGGTCAAGCAGATCCTTTTCCTTTGGTTCTGATGGCCTGGTTGGTGGAGTGCTTTGTTATACACTTTAGTCCTGTTCAGTATTTACTGGTTCCTTCAATAATAGTCCTTTATCATTAGCAAAATTTTAAAGGTGCTATATATCGATAATGATCCTTTAGATTACAATCGATATACAACCCCCTACCGATTATTATTATTAGTGATTACTAACGATATATAACAAAAAATTCATTAAATTTTTTTAAAATTTAACATTAATTTTCTTGATAACTATTAATCCAGATTAGCGCAAATTTTTACCATATATAGTATATATATTCAACTATAATATAGTAAAATTTTAGCCAATTTGAATTAATAGTTCTTGAGAAATCATTTGTTAACAATAGTTAATTTTTTTAAAAAAATTAACTATCGTTAACAAACGATTTCTCAAGAACTACTAATTCAAATTGGCTAAAATTTTACTATATTATAGTTGAATATATATACTATATGTAGTAAAAATTTGAGTCGATTTGGATTAATAGGTATCGAGAAATTAATGTTAAATTTTAAAAAAATTGGTCAAATTTTATAAAATCGTTATTAATCGATAGTGATTATAATTGTTATATATAAATAATTGCTATTTATCATTAATAATATATATTGATATATAGCAGTTAATCGATATATATTGATAATTTTTAATTGATATATATTGATTAACTGCTATATATCGATATATATCTGCTTAAAAATTTTGCTGATGACATAGTACCGTTAAAGATCTGTACTATCTCTCTACTTGGGTCTTGCTATGTAGGCATCCATTTTTTCAGTTCTTCAGATTAATGTGATCATCAAACTTTTTTCGTATAACTTATATATAATACAAATGCCCTATTATCTCTCAATCAAGTTGGTACTACCAAGGTTACAGAGATCCTATTCCAACCAATTGATGAAAGACAATAGCT